TAACTGTTGGTTTAGTTGTCTGAACCTAACTGTTGGTTTAGTTGTCTAAACGGCTGTGAGACTGTGTGTAGGCAACCAGCAGCACAGAGTCTGACTCCATTAACACAATGGAGGTGTCAGACGTTCAAAGGCGAGATGTCTTTCACGTAGAGGACAGAAGGAGAAGTTGACTCAGTTAACTCTTTGAATAGATGATGTATGAGAGACTTCTGTAGGACTGCAGCCATCACAAGAACAACATGGAGTCTTCAAAAGGAGTCGATCTATCTGTATTATTTTACCCTCAGAACCAAACCTGACGCGGTGCAGCTGGGTTGGCTTCAGCGAACAGAAGGGGAGATAAAGGGGAGGGTTGTTGTGATTGTGTGACACCTGAGGTCTTAGGGTTGGACCTTCGGATGTGGATTTATTTGAAGTTCTCCTGAAATAAAAAACTACAGCGAAGCTTTGAAGTATGGAGGCTCAGCAGAGGATGGATTAACAACATATGAGCCACGTAGAAAATGCTCCTCCTCACTAACCTCTTCACTGTCGGTGCATTGATGTTCCGGTCGTCTTCAGTTACTCGGTTTGGGTTTAACTGGTGAGGACCGACCTCTGACAGTCCACTGGTGTTGTGGTTTAGGAGGACACTCTGGTGGAAAATGTGCTTTTAAGGTTTGGTGGTTAGAATCTGAATTTTAATAGCATGAGAACCCTGAGGGAATTACAGTGAGGATGTGTTTTCTTCGTGTTGTATCGTCATTCAAAGAGACTCAGCCTTGATTTCACAAGCAGCAGCACACATATAAGCCGGAGACGTTTCTGTTATTGGGGATGGCGTGTGGTTGAACCATCACTCAACCTTGACTAACTGTAACATGAAAGCACGAGGCCTCATATTCCATCTGTGTGGACACTTTTAAGATTCCAGTTTCAGATTAAAAGAAGTGGTTAAACACCTGAGCTTCACTCTGAAAGAAGTTCCTCTGATGCTGTGAACATGTCGTCCTCTTAACAACATCATCTTCATATTAAATCTTTTAACCAACTTCAGTCCTGATCATAAAACAAATATGATGAACAGAGGAATATGATAAACCTATTGTACTTAATGTGTCTGATAATAAACTGTATTACATCATATAGTGAAGGCCGGGTAATATAATGGGCAGCTAAATATAGTGGTGTGTGTGTGTGTGTGTGTGTGTGTGTGTGTGTGTGTGTGTCTGTGCCTTTGTTACCATGGAATCTCTCTCCGTGTGTTTCAGTGCAGAAGTCTGGAGGCACTCAGCTGAAGCTGGTGATGTCGTTTCCTAACTATGGACGAGCGATGATGAAACCCATGAAGTGAGTTCAACACGTCGCTTCACACAGGAAGTAATGAAGTAAAACTAATATCAATATATAGTTAATGAATCTATTGATTATATTATAATATCTGAGTTCACTTTATCGCTCTATTAATTGTTTAACATTTGAAGTTAGAAAAAGATTAATGTCTCAGTTTGATTGAGCTGACGTCTATCAGAACCCACACATGTATATATGTATATACATGTTTATAACTCAGGTTTGTTCAAATAAAACTGAACCACTTTATTATCTGCAGCATAAATCTAGAAGGTTTATCTTCAAATCTGCTTATTTTGATTTTCCTTCATGAGCTACAAATCCACTCAGACATAATAATAATAATAATAATAATACCAATAATATTAATGATAACAACAATAATAATAATAATAACAATAGAAACAATAGCAACAATAATAATAATAATAATTATTATTATTATCATATAACATGTATAATAATAATAATGCATTTATTTTGTACAGCGCTCTAGAAGCTCCTCAGAAGCACTTTACAGGTAAAACTGAAACAATAAAAGCAATGAGAACACAAACAAAGCAGTTAAAGACTTTATAACATGATATCTTTACATAATATCTCTTTTTATTTGTCCTCATCATCTTTAACGTTCTCTGAGATCAATCCCCTCCGTCCACGTCTCAGTGTTCATCATGTTTATGATTTTACTTTCTGTCCCACTGAAGTCAGAGAAGGTTTCTCTTTATGCTGATGACATTATCCTATTCATGGTATTCTTGTCCAGCAGCTGAGGGTGAGTGGGCTTCCTGTATCTGTGTAGTATAAGTTATGTCATGTCCTGATGTTTTTGTCTGTCTGTGTTTGTGCCTTTATGTCTCCCCGACAGGCAGGAGAGAGACGAAGAAACCAACTACAACCTCTACTACTTCTCAGACTTTGAGAGACACAACGCAGAGATCGCTGCGTTTCACCTGGACAGGTACACGAGGGAGCACGAGTGCATGGAACTGGCCACGTTGGTGTTTGTTTCTTCTTCTTCTTCTTCTCGTCTTCACGCCGTCTTCTGCAGGGTCTTGGGTTTCAGGAGGATCCCACCGGTGGTGGGGAGGCTGGTGGATGTGGTCCAGGAGATCAAAGACGTCACGACCGACCGTAAACTGGCCCAGACCTTCTTCCCCTCTCCTGGTACCGGTCACACAATCCTGCAGGATTCATCTAGAGTCTGATCAAGATCCTCTCTGGTCATCACCAAACACAACTTCTACCTCCTTGTTGTCTCCTCTCTCTCTCTCTCACTTGTCTCCTCTCTCTCTCTCTCTC